GCACCACTGGCGGTTCTTACCTTGTCGCCTGGGGGGTGTCTCACTGCAGCCCCTTGCAGGGGCTCAGGGGGCGGTGCTGGGGCTGGGACAGGCCTCTGGCCCCCAGTGTGGGGAGTTTTTTGGGCGTGTGGTGCTGACGCATTCCCTGTAGGTGGAGCTGGGCGGGAGCTGGGGAAGGAAGGGGACGGAGGGGGGAGCTGGGGAGGAGGCCGAGAGCTATCCACTGACCGACCCTGCAACTTTCAGCCCGTTGCTTCACATCTCTGACGTCTCGTGCTGAGTAACATGAAGAAAAACCATAGAATTGCACAAGTGAGGAACACAAGGGATGTTCAGACCTCAGGGAGGCGGGCCACATGTTAGCCCCGCCCCCTCACTGAGAGCCACTAGTATCTCTTTTCCCCTGCCTGATCTGCTGCTCTGCTTTCTGTTCCCTGCCCAATCCACTGTTCTGCTTCCTGCCCTATCCGCCGCTGCACTGCTTGGACTCTACCCTGGTCTGCCCCGTGCCACATGCAACGCTTGTGCCGCAGGTTGGCCACCACTGATCTAGTCCAGCATTTCTCAACCCAGGGGTCGCGACCCAAACATGGGTCATGAGAAAATATGAAAGGGTCATGGACAAACTTTCAAAATGCGTTGTCCCTTGCAGGCTGGCACAGTTCCCACCTGCAAGGGGCTGCTAGGGCCCCCTCCATGCCCCACACACCCACCCTCTGCCCCACATGCTGGGGCAGGGGGCAGCAGGTCAGGACTGGTCATTGATGTTTATAAGTGGGTCCTAGTACAAAAAAAGTTGAGAACCACTGATATAGTCCATCCCCCTGACCCAACCATAACACCTTTTTTCTTTTTAAGGTGAATATAGGGCAGGGGCGGGCAATTATTTCAGGTGTGGGCTGCTTACTGAGTTTTGGCAAGCCATCGAGGGCCACATGACAGGCAGCCAGGGGCAGATAAATATTAATTTTCTAAATTTTTTAGGGGCCCCACGGGCCAAATAGAATGGCCTGGCGGGCCTCATTTTGACCCCTCCCTCCCCCGCCCCGATATAGGATCTTGCCTTAGATTCCTTTATTCACCTTTAACTGTCATAGTAGCAGGTCTTTTTCCTGGCCCTAGGGGCCCATAATAGTCTAGCAAATCGGCTTCTGAACTGAAAGTGAATTTCATCTTTTGAGAAGCATTGTTGTATGCATAAAGAGTGCATGACAAGGCAGAGGACATTCATCTCCTGTTTGAAAAACTTCAAAACTTTTATACTCTTGGTCTTCATTGATAGACTTGGAAGCTTGTTCAAGCATAAATATAGCTGCAGTGTCTTATGAACTGTTGCAATGCAAGCTGAAATTTTGTGGGTGTATGTAGTTGAAGCATGTATAACAAGGTTTTCACCTTGGGCATCCATTGGTTTCACCCACTCAAATCTCTCTCTTTCAGGTCTTAGAGTGGTTTGATTGTACAGTCATCCAGTTAGTTTTATCCAGTTCAGCTTGGTATGACTGAAATTTAAAGACCCTGGAAGTCACTGTGAATAAAATAGCAAACGATATTTAAATAATTGGTACTAAGGCCCACAGAGCATGTGGCCTCCTCCTGCTATCGCCTCAAAGAAATTTATATATCATATCTTGTATTTCAAAAATACAAATCAAAAGGACCTAAAACATTTATACTACTTGTTTTAGAAGCTTAAAGAATGGAGGGAATTCTTTAAGGAAAACTTTCACCAACGTACCTTGTGTTGTCATCCAATGCGAAAGTCAAAGTAAAAGCACCATTTCATTGTCTACTACTCATATAGTTTTAATTGAAAGATAAATTACAATATTTAATAGTAAAATAAATTATTTAAAATAATTTCTAATGCAAGGTAGGTGAGATTTTTAGACTTGTATGAATGAATCCTTAGACTCTTTTAACCTTGGCCTGCTTTACTGGAATTGTTTACATTAAAAGATTACTTCATCTTGAATCAAAAAAGTGGAGTAAAACTCATTTCCTTGAGGAAAGAAATAAAAATGAGCATTTCCCACGAAGCAGTCAGTATACATGGGAATTTGGCCAGGCTCATGAACTGAATTTAAGATTTACATGGTTCCATGGTTGTATTCATTCAGTACTGAACATAATGAAAACGTGGTCAGATCCAAAGACCGTTGCAGTTACTTTCGCTTGTTTCCGAGGCTCACATATGTGAACAAATTGTCCTATTTGTATTGGAAGCTGTTTTGATTATTCTTTCCCCAGTTTTCAAAATCTGTTCAACATAACTTCTGTTCTTTTATCTTCAGGTGAGGAAAACTTAATCCTGTTAGCTGGCCGACATGAATTTCCATTCAGCTTTCAACTCCCACAAGAGTAAGTGAAATAATGCAACCCGGAATTATATGTTTTGTTAGTTCTTGAAAAATAAGCAGAATAAACTGGAGCAACTTGATCATTAGTTTTGATTCTTCTACATCAACCTGATAAACTAGCCTTTATGTTTACGCTGAACGGTGGCAAGGATGCTTCTTGTCTTGCTTTGATTTCCCCAGGGGACATAAATGTACTAGATGCAAGATGGTAAACATCTGTGTGTACAGAAAGTGTTTTAAGTTTGGAATTCTAATATAAACTCATTGCATACGAGAATATTTTTGTGACTGTTCCAGACCTTTGGTGACCTCTTTTACTGGGAAGTATGGCAGCATTCAATACTGTGTAAAAGCAGTTCTGGAAAGGCCTGTAGCACCTGATGAGAGTGTCGAGAGAGAACTTCAGGTTGTCAGCCATATTGATGTCAGCTCACCAGCTTTATTGGTAAGAGCATTGTTTTTAATTAATTGAATTAGATCTATTTTGAAGAAGAATTCTCATGCATCCATAACCACTTCACTAGTATTTTGGTGTCTCATTTTGTTGATTTCTGAAAGCATATAAGCTCCCTTTTAAGCTTTCTCTATAAATAGATGATCTTGGGCTATGTGAACTGCAAACATAGTTGCTTTTTTATTAGAATTGATTACATCCCTGCTGGCAGGGCTGCTATTGCCAAAAAAGTTAGGCAGGCTTGAAATGCATTAATAAGGCTTAATAATAATAATGCTGAAGCATAAAGTAGTTACTCCTACCAGAGCAACTATATTCACAGGGCTGCAGTGTCCTAAACTCTTCAGTAATAGTAGGTTGAGGAACAGTAATTATAGAAGAGTATTAATCATGCTCTAGGCTGTTATTTAAGCTCTGGCCATTATGTTATGTATCCTTCCATTTTGCATGTCATTTTCTAACATTAAGTCCATGCATGCAGCTGCTTCAGAGATCTTTTCAGTTATTTCCTTATGACAGATTTGGCCACATTAAAGCATTGAACTTCTAATAATCACTAGAAATACTGTGGAGTAATAAGAAAGATCAGACTATAAGTAACAACAGAATGGGCAAGATGGAAGCTAATGAGCTAGATTCTTTTATCTAAACCCATATTATCAAAATAATATAAAATTATACCTTGCACTTTCATGATAGTAACTAGGACCTAATGGTTATTCATTTAAATATGAATGAATGATTTCTGCTTTATTGAAGTGCTTGGATAATTTTAACTTTCCATCATAATGCTGATGTGGCTAAGATGTAGGTTTTGGCATTAGATGATCATTTTTCTTCTAATAGAGTTACATACTTTTTGTTTCATGTTTCTTTAAAATTTAGAGCTAGAACTTTATGTAAATGTTTTGGCAGTGACATCTGTAAAGAGCAGATGGTCCTTATGTTACACACAGCTTCAGAAAATAGGTAATATTAACCATACTGTATTTGCACAATATTGAATATATAAAGACTCTTGTATTTTGTTGTTGGGACTGGACAAGACTTAACAGTTCTTTCTAAAAACATTCAGTTTTGTAATCCCCTAATATCATTTTTAATGTAAGTTTATTAAGCTATACTATGAAGAATAGCTTGTTCAGCATGCCTATAAAGTTAAATAGCTTTAATGTATTTCTGCAAAGTATCTTCTGCCGTCTTTAGAACTACATCCTCATCTTCTTACTATTGTATAAAAAAGGCAAGAAATAATGTTTTCCAAAAATGTTCTGGATAAGGATGGCATATGTTACTTTAGAAGTCCACTCATCCTTGGCTTGTCACTTGAACACTTGACTTATGTTTATCATCAATAATTAACACTTTGAATAAGTTGTAGTTTTATTCAGTCATAAAAATGCTCAAACCCTTCACTGTGACTGAAGTTTCCTTTATTCTTGAGTCTTCCAGGAAGACCAAATCAAAGAGCACTCTAATGTGGGGAACAATCAGAAAGTTTCTTAGCAACCAGTAGTTCAGGCCTTTTTCTTGTATCATAAAGAAGCAAAAAGGGCATAAACTAGTTTTATCTCTTTACAGTTCATTGTCTAAGCAATAGTCAAAAAAGACCAGTTTACCCCATGGTATATGGTCTCTTAACTGAGCATTTGTAGTGACAGTACCAACTTATCGGTTTGTGTTGAGGGTGGTTGTTTCACTGCACAACTTTGATTCTGGAGAACAGAAATTCGGATGTCTAGGGCTCTGGGTTGTAACTTAGCCCACTCCAGTAGAATGTTGTGTCCATCCAGAAGCAGCTTTTGAAACCAGTGAACCTGTGCTTGTCCTGAACAAATTGCGAGATTTGAGCTATGTATCTTCAGCAATAACTGCCTGCTGTATGTTGGCTTGTGGTAGTGACAAAGATAGATAGATAGATAGAAGGAAAGAAAGAAGAAAGAAAAAGCCTAGGATTCTGACTAGGCAACTTGGTGAACTAGGACTCTTGTAGCCTGGATTTGTTTATTTTAGCTGAATTTTGCAAAATTTGGTCAGAGTTCCTGGAGCTTTGCATAGACAATATGAAAGTCACTTACAGTGACTGCTCACTTGGTGGTTCAGTTGTTTTCATCATTTTAAGTGTAAATGTTAATAATTCTCTCTTATATGATTTGATTTAATATTGCAAACCTGCTAAAGAAGCTCATCACTTCATGCACAAAATATGCTCATTTCCACACGCACCCTTCTCCCTTACCATGATGGATGGTATCTAGGAAGTAGATGGTATTTTATCTGCCAACCAAATAGCTGCCTGCTCCAGATGAATGGGCAAAACAAACTCTGCAAGGCTTCATTAACTGCTTTCCTATTTCTGCAACCAACTGAAATGTTACATGAATGCAATGATTCCCATCTAGCATGGGTACTCTCAGCCTTTCTAAAGGCCATGTCTATAAAAACTTGATGAACTTCAATTGAAATATTTGCAAGAGAATTAATACATTGAAAATGCACATCTTGCTTTTGCCTTGGGCCATTTTTCTTTTCAAGTGCAAAGTAAGAAGAAAACAGCCAAACTTGCAAGTAGTAGTAATTCTTGGCTCCACTGAAATCAAATGACAACATTTTTCTTGTCTTGAGTAGTAGGAAGATTTGGTCCCAAGCAGATGTGAAGGCTGTTTGCATTAATCTGAATATTACAATGAAGTAATGTGGCAATTTTTGATACAAGCTAGATAAAGAGAATTCTGAGATGTTGGTGGGTTTTTTTTAGATGCCTGTTTTGAGAAGCCGGGAGAAGATGGTTGGGTGCTGGCTTTTCACTTCTGGCCCAGTGTCTCTGAGTGCCAAAATTGAGAGGAAGGGATACTGTAATGGTAAGAACTTTTTCTTACAACTTGATTTACTTGTTTCTTCGATAGCAAGTAAGAGGTTTTTGTGATCTGTGCAACCCAGAAACTATGTAAGCCTAGTGTGTGATGGCTGGAACAAATATTTGTGTAACTTAAAAGTTAGTAAAATCAGATCTGTGTAAATTGAGTTAAAAGATATCTTCTGTTAGTAATGCAAATTGAAAACTAGTAGTATTATGCAGTGTTGTTAACAAAAAAGACATCGCATCTGAGCTGCTGTGGATGTCAAGGGCCAAAGAATAATGCTCTTCACTAAGATCCACTGTTTAATACTGGTCTTTTTCTATAGAAGTTCTAGAGGAACGTGCTGTGAAATGTACAAGCGTACAGTATATGAACATTTTTGATGACTCTTCGTGGGTTCTGGTCCCACAGTAATTACTAAGGTGATAATTGTGATAGTGCACATGTTCCATCATAATTAGAGAACAGCTATACTATATTTAGCAAATGCATGTTTGTAACTTGTCTATCAAAAACTTCTGTATGAACAATCATGAAACATTAGTATGTAGTATAAGGCTATATCCTCCACCAGTTTGCAAAGAAACTGTTTGGCAGGAGTTGACACAATTAATATAAAATTAGTAATAACATGGCACGTGATGTAGGGATCTTAAAGTTTTTTTTATAGGTACACTCAGAGCAAAGGTGCTAGATGCATACAAAATATTCATAGGACTCCTTTTCTTTTTTTCTTTTTAATTTTTAGGAGAAGCAATACCAATCTATGCAGAAATTGAAAACTGTTCCTCTCGTCTGGTTGTTCCAAAAGCTGCCATTTTTCAAACACAGACTTATTTGGCCAGTGGGAAGACTAAGACTTTCCGTCAGATGGTTGCCAATGTGCGAGGAAACCATATCTCCTCTGGGAGCACAGATACCTGGAATGGGAAAACTTTGAAAATCCCTCCTGTAACCCCTTCCATACTTGATTGCTGTATCATCAGAGTAGAGTATACTTTAGCTGTAAGTGCAGGTTTTCATCACATATACTTATTTTTTAGTACTAAATTTATCATCAGAATTTCATTAGTACTTGACAGGTTTAAGCTTGATAAAGTGTAACATTGCATCTTGGCTTTATCTGAAGAAAAGTCTTAAATGCTTGCAGAGTGCAAACATGTAACTGATGACTGATTAAAAGTTGAAATAGAAACTAAGCTATTTTCAACATATGTCCAGTCAGGCATGGAAAGTTCCAGGAACAAACAGGAGGTGGTTGGTGTTAGTATCGAAAAGGGCGCATGGTGGTCAAAATAACTGGGATTTGAGATTGGCATGGAAGAGCTTTGTGTTTTGAGACGGAGCTCCTACGTTAAGGAGGGGAAAACGTGCCGATTGTGTTGATATTTTGCTGTATGGGAGGAGAAAGATTGAAGATAATTCCTAAGCTATAAGGCTGAATAACAGAAGTAATGGTGATGAGGAAAGTGGAGAGTGTTTAGGGGAAGTTTTACATGTCTATAGACAAGCTCATCTGGAAAAAATTTCAGGCTGAAATGCATGCCTGGATAGATGGTGACACTGCAGAAGTGATAAGGAAGATCTGAAAGTCTTCCATGTAAAGATGCTGGTCAAAACAGTAAGCAAAGCAAGAGAAGGTCATTCAAAGACAAGGGCCCTGATCCTACCACACATTAGCTGCTTAAATATGTTCCTATTCTATCCTATTGAAGTCTCTGAAAATCTATTCATGCGTCTTTTTTTTTTTTTCACATAATATGCTATGTTCTTAGCCTTAAAACCAAGCTATAAAAAACAGAAAGGAGGGGTAGGATCCACCTGCCTTTTACGTTAAGTTTTTCAGGGACTCAGGAAGGGTGGAATGAGCTTACACTAAAGTGCCTACTATCTCCACTTTGGTGCTTTGCAGGTAGAGAAAGATGTGGGCCAAGATGCAGAAAGAAAATAATGGTTTTGAGATTTACCAAAGATGCAAAGTGCTAGCCATATTCATTTGGAATCACTAAATTTCTTAGTATCTTTAAGTTGGCGTACGCTACAGGAGTTCTACTGGCTTCTGTGAACTACTGTTCTGTTGCATTTTTGTGACTTGTCTAAATCTGTTGTATTTGGTGGGGTTTATCACATAGGTGTATATCCATATACCTGGTGCTAAGAAACTGATGATTGAAATGCCCTTGGTGATTGGCACAATTCCCTGCACTGGGTTTTCAAGCAGGAACTCCAGCGTTACCAGCCAGTTTAGTATGGAAATGAGTTGGCTGGCGCTGACCATGCCAGAACACCCTGAAGGTAAACATGTTGAGCTTTTTCATCATTTGGATAATTTTTCTGTACTACGGAAGCAGGGAAGTTGTGCCAGTTCAAGAGCTAAATCCAATAAAAAATTTAGGCCACTAAAGTAGTATTTAGACCCGTGTCCAAATTTGCCATCCAAGCTATTGCAGATCATTAGTGCAAGAGGGAGCATAACTAGGTAGCTGAAAAGTATTCAAGGACCAAACCCCAGTAAATTACAGTCTTATGCTCACACGTGCATGCACACGCAGTCTCCCCTCAAATATTGAACTTGGTCTCCCAACTCTTAATAGTGAGCAAATGTCTCTCACCTAGTAGTGAACAAATGTTTCACTGCTAGGGTAGCAGATGAAAGGTGGACAGCTTTAAGCTGCAGGGAGTATTCCTCATTCTTTTGAAGGTAGAATTGGAAACAGGGCTGTGCGAAATGGCTGTGTTTCGATTCAGTTTCGGATTCAGCTGTTTTGGAGGACAGCGATTTGTTTTAGTGTTTTGGATCGTTGTCCTATTTCGTTTTGGCCGAATGTCTCTGCCAAGTCTCCTCGGAATCTTTTCCGATTGAGCTACAAGGCAAGCTCTGCACAGCCCTACCCAGCTGGGTGAGGCTGGGGGCTTGGGGCCCCAGCAGGGAGCAGGACGGGGCCATGGGTGGCTCGTCCAGGGGAGGGGCAGGGCCACTGCCCACCCTGCAGACGAGGAAACCCCCCATGCAGATCTCTGACCCCTGTCACGTCAGATCGCGGGGCAGGGAAGCAGCTCAGAGCTGCAAGCAAGCCTGCTGGTCCCTGCTGCATGAGTCAGCTACGCAGGGAGCAGAGATCTGCACCAGGGGTCTCCTCGCACCCACTGCCTGCCCCATGCTGCCCCAGATCTCTGCCCCCTGAGGAGCCAGGTCTCGTGGCAGGGTAGCAGCATACAGCTGTTTCCCTGCAAGCCTGGCTCCGAAGCGCCGAAATTTTCCGAAATGTTTCGGATGCCTCATTTCATTTCGGAGATGTTCCTGAGCCTTCCGTTTCGATTTGGATTTGGTGTTTCGGGCACTGAAACAGCCTGAAACACCTCCGAAATTAAATGGCTGCCAAAATTTCATACAGCCCTAGTAAACGTCTACCTTAGAGGTGTCCTGTATGTTGGCTGTACCTGGCATTCTCCTGAGTTGAAAGATTTTTTTTCTGATTTTTGGATCTCCCTTCTGAAAGAAATCGCTCGGGTTTCTGGATTCCATTTTGAGGTCAGGTCCCTAAAAATTAAGCACATCAGCACAAACTTGAATCTGCCAGAAAATAATTTAATTTTGTAACATGCTTCTAATAAGTGACATACCCCGTGCTTTTCTTACTGTGGTATTTAAATCGGGTATCAAACATCCAACCCTTTTGGCTGCTGGACTACCATGGAATCCAGGGCATCATCACTTCTTGCACACCTCCACCACAGCAAGTGGCTTTCTAGCCCACAGTCACTTGCCCCACTGCAGCTGCTACTGCAGGGCCATGGAGGCCTCCCCATTTGCCAGTCCAGATCCCTCTCACAAGCAGCTTAGTAGTCTAGCTCTGGCCCTGGGCCCTGAGTGAATCTGATACCTCTGATTTAAATAATGTGTTCAGTATTGGTAGAATTTTTCATAGTTTTCTGTTTGTGGTATAATGTTCTTGGGGACTGTGGGCAAACAGTCTGGAAAGTTGTGACTAGTTGAACAAGCTGATTATGTAACAGCAGTCTCTTGCTTTCAGCACCACCAAATTATGCTGATGTAGTGTCAGAGGAAGAATGCTGTAGACATGTTCCAGCTTACCCACAACCAATAGACTGTGAGGAGCAACTATCTTGTCCCATGTTTGCTTATATACAGGAGTTTCGGTTTCAGCCTCCGCCTCTCTATTCAGAGGTAAAAAGAAAATCTATTATACGTTTTTCAAAATATTCTGTAAATGCAAGGATTGGAGGAAGTTAATCACTGATTTTTTTTTTTTCCTTTCGGCAGATTGATCCACATCCTACTAATGTAGAAGAAATCCAGCCTGTTTCTTTCACGCTCTAAAGAGACTTTGAAATAAGCTTTATTGTGATGGAATAGAAGGTTTTATCTTTCTGCTGCTTCAGCTGACAGTCAAGCTAAAAAGAAACTGGTCACTGAAGCTAAGTTTTTGAATAAGGAAGAATGGAAGTGCAAAGGCAGGAGTTGGAAGTTGAGCATGCTAAGCAGCTGGAAAGGATTGGTCTGTATCTGCCTACACAGAGGACGTTGTGCACCTCATTGCAACAAAGTGTGAGCAGCAAGTTCGGGATGTCAGGGAAGTATCCAAGAAGAAAGAAAAGTTCCTTTTTTTAATGGAAATGTTACTGAGCGACAAGGAAGCGTTTTAAAGTTGTTTCAAGGAGGAACTAATGTGTACTGTAACTTAAAGACTTTTCTGGGAGAATTTGGATGAACGTACCATTACGCCAAGAGCTTGAAAGGCAGGAGTTTTGCATGGTCCGCAGCTGAGAAAGGAACACTAACTGAAATATGGAGCCCACATTAATGCCAGCTTAAAACAAGCTTTTTTTTTCCCATGACACTATACTCTTCTAAGATCAGTCATGTGGTACTATATCATAATTCAGACTGAATTTAAATGTGTCATGGATAGTTAAAATATGGTTATTTATGCAATATTATGAAGGCAAGCATGTATTGTATGAAAAACTAAAACTATGTAAAAGAGAAAGTTGGACTTTGATAATGGCTTATGCACTATGCTTTCTTGAAGGGACTCTTAAGAAATTATTCTAGCCTCTTCTGCTACTGTGCTAGTTCTGTATCTTAAGCTTATGGATAGCATGATAAAGGGAAACATGGCAAGGGGAAATCCCTTTTTGCCAACAGCAAATCTGTTTAGCAAAGTGGACTATATTTATTTATTCAAATGCCTTTTGAAGCCTACCTCTCTTAAATAGCCAGTTAGGGTCAGATCTGAGACCAAAAATGTCTTGTAAAACTCCAAAAACTCTAAAAGGGTCCCTAATTGATTTCTAAAGTGAAGAAATAAAAAAGGCTGGGAGCATAGGAAAGAGTGTAATATACTTGGAGTAGACTTAGCTTGTATGTGAAGACAAAGGAGAAATCAGGGAAGCAAGATTCCTCTAACGGCACAAATCTTTTTAACTCCTGCCGTTTTGTTTGAAGACATTGCCTGTTGTTGAGGCTGCACTGTTCATTGCTATCCATACTCTTTAGTGTTTTTGCTGTCTCTAATTTTGTTTTTGTGCAATATTTTACTATTTTCTTCCTCAGGTCATTTAGAACAGTGAGATTTTTTTTGTTGCTGCTAAGGATGGAGGCACAGTGCTACTCTGTGCTGCCTTCATGTCAAGTAGAGTGTTTGCTTCCTGCTGAGCGTTAATTGGTAATCCACCTGATGAGGCACTCAAGAGTTCACTCAGAAAGGAACAGGAGGATGGCAAACGCTATATGCAAACTTCCAGTTTACAGTCAAGTATTTAACGTAAGGGTTTTTTGAACTGTTTAGACAACTTCATATATTTTACAAAAGGGTTTGGGTTTAGAAATCTTGGTGCTTCACATGGCAGAATACTATACTTTCTGGTAACTTAAGTGAGATGTATTGAATTGAATTCATTTCATCAATAACTGCAGTTTTAAAAAATAATTTAAGTGGTTTTCTATGGCGGGGGAGAAAAATCATCAGTCATTTAAGAAGCAGGGATTTTTTCTACAAGCATATCTGTATTTTTTACTCTCTATCCTTTTAGCAAGACTCTCCTCTTGTACATTGTCTAACTTCTACCACTTCACCTCTGTTACCTGTTCAGTCCATGGTGTAGAAGAGCTGTAATGACAAAGATGCATATCATTTCAAACTGCAGTTATTTTTTTATTTGTAATTTGAAGTATTGTTTTCCTATCAAATGTAATTTCAACTAAAACTTGATTGCACATTTTAGAAAAGTCCATCCTGAGAGAGATCATACTTGTCTTAAAGTTTCAAGTTGTAGCTTTCATGCCTTTTTTTAATTGATGGCTTGCCCATACAGTCGAGCAGCATTTTTGCTTGCAGAACCTTGAAAGGGATCAAGCAAATATTTTCCTTAAACAGATATCATTTTAGTTTACTTGAACAGTAATGTGGTTGTGTATTGACTTGCATGTAGCTGTTTCAGAATATTAGCCTAATGATCATTAGGTGCTTATGACCATAATACCTTCTAGGTGATTAACTGGCTAACTTGTTGGTATGAACATGGTTACGCAATTCAGAGCATGTGTCAATGAAGGGTAAAGATGCAGCTGTTTTGTCTCTGTGTGTGTGTGTGTGTGTGTGTGTGTGTGTGTGTGTGTGTGTGTGTGTGTGTGTGTGTGTGTGTGTGTGTGCGTGCGCGCGCACGTTGTGTTTTTTTAATCTTTGAGTTGCTTTTTTGGTTGTTATTTGCAGAAAACCTGTGGCCTTAGATTGTTTGCTGCAAAAAAAAAAAGCAAAAGAAACAAAAAAAACCCTAGAAAAGTGTTTCTTAAGAAACACACACGGCTCTTTGAGGGGGGGAGGTGAAAAACACTGCCAAATTCTCCTCTCTGGCTCCTAGTTAAGAGAGTCGAATTTGGTCCCAAAATACGTACTGTTTGTTTGCACAAAAATGAATTCAATATGCAGGGGGTTTGTTTTTGATAACTGTGAAATGGTTTTAAAAAGACAAAAAAAAATACGCTTGCTGTTCAAAATGTTAATACATCAGGACTTGATTGTATTTTGTACCAATGTATGAGCCCTGTGGGTTCTCTTTCTTAATAAAAATGGAAAACTCTGTGTTGGATGGATGATTTGTGCAGTCCACTCTGAAAGTGATAGCAGAACCTTTTCAGAGTTAAGTGACATGAAAGCTGGTTGCAGTGTCTGGGTGTTATATCGGTAGAACAAAAGGTATGAGAGACTCATCTTAACATTTAAAATTACTTACTTCTCTGACCTTAAATATGGAAAATGGCAAGTTGCTGGAAAATTGTCATTACTTCCTTTCCAGAAAATTCTCCATAAGTCGTTACTCAAAATCAGATCAGTTATGTTAACTGCCATTAGCAAAGATGATTTTATTGTAGTAACAACACTGTTGTGCTGAATAGTGCATCTCTTGCACATACTGAGTTAAAGTAGCAGGATACACTTTTAATTGGGTTTCTCTTGGTTATCTGCCAGCATATTTTGAAATAATAGGTAAAATCTTGCTGACATTTGTTCAACAGCACATTATTTTCATACCATGCTTCTTGTACTACTTAGCTCATTAGACCTGACTATAGAGCGCAGCCCCACTGAATTACATGACAGAGTTTGAATACCTACCATGTGATTGCAATGCTGTGGCTCATGGAAGTGGACAAACAGCAGAAGGGGTAAAAAATAGTCTTGAAAGGCATCTATCACATAGCTTAAAGCTGCAAAGCACCAGAACTGAAGTAAATATAGTTTTGTTCCACCTCTTCTAAACAGCAGCCCATCCTTGTGAAAAGGAGAAGGGTAACAGTATAATTACAGACGCATCAAAGATAATGTGCCTTATGAACTGGTTTCAGCCACTGTAGTTCAGCTGAGTGATAGAGGAACATAGATGTAATGTAGCACGTGAAATAAGTACAGTGTTGGGTCACACACCTCATGAAGTGTTTCGATGCTGTATTTTGCAGGTGCAAAATTTGATTTCAAGGCATGAAGTGGCACCATTCATGTTCAATTAAAAAAATAGTATATAGTACAACTCTGAGTTTTGATAACTGTCCTCAGGTCTTGAAAAGGCTGGGACTACTACAGGAGTCCAGGAAAACAACATGCAGGATTTAGGAGTGGAAATACTCAAGATGGTTTGCGTGTGTATATGTATTTCTTTAAAGATCTTGTCCAGATAACATGAAATGGAGGCTTTTTACCAATAAATCTAACACTACCTGTTTCTCAAAGAAGATTCCTTCCCTGCTGTTTCCCCTTCCCCCCGCCCTCCCAAACTGGGACTAAGTCTGCAGTGCTACTGGACAATTGTTACCAGGCACATTAGAATTCAGTATATTAATAGGAGAAAAATTTTACATGCAAAGAGTATGTAGCAGCAGTTCATCTGTTAAATAGCACAAAATGACAGTATCAAAGCCACTGTTCGACTGACACTAAGCTAGTCTGTTACCAATCAGTCTAGTACAATTTTAGGACAGCATTTTTACATCAATTTCTGATCAAGGTAAAAATGAATAGTGGTCACAAGAGTTTTGTCTTGGGTGAAATGGGGAAAAACAAGGCATTGTTTAGAGAAGTGACTTGAATAGAGTTGTTGTGGCTTATGTCCGTTGTGATTCTGGTCATTGTGGTAAGAGCCATTTTAGTAACACAGGCCAGACTACATCTGATATCAGTAATGCAGTTGTACTGAAAAATCTCTGACCAACTGCCAGCAGAGGAAATGAGGAAATCCTCCTTAGTTTTTGGCTTACAGTCAACCATCTGCCTGCCTTCAGACAGGAAAACTGTGAACCACAAGGTGAAAGTAGTAGCAACTGTTGATTCCAATATACCCACTACAGATCTATTTTCTGAGATTTTATTATGTATTCATTAGTGGGCTTGATGAGCAAGTGACTGCACAGAGACCAAATCAGCAATCTGGTTTTCAGATCTGGGGGTAGCCAAAGTGGTAGGAGTTCTGTCTTATTTTGATTGATTTTTTTTTTAAAAATAAATACACTTAGTTTGAGCGACAAGGTTTCAACAGCCAACCTGAGCATGCTTCTCTTATGCTGAATAGTACAAAATGTGGGGTTTCTAGGTAGAACTACTTCTCTACAGAGTATACAATAAGTAACTGAGTCCAACTAAGCGACAAGCAACACTGTTACGTGCCTGGGGAATCAGAATGAGGTGGCTTTGCATATAGGGGTGCATCTACACCATAGGCAATGTGTGGGAGGGGCATATGCCCCCCCCCCCCC